CAAATTTTTTTTTTTTTTTTTTTTTTTTTGGACAGGCCGATAGCGGCCGACGTGCGCAGGCCGCGCGAGCGCGCGGATTTTGGGCGCGCGCCCCCGCATGGGCGTGGCGCGGCCGCGTGCAGACTCAGCCGCTCGGCCTAGGATCCTGGCCGCAGACTCGGATCCTGCGGCCGCGGCCGAGGGTGCCACGTAGCCTAGCGGGGAAGGATATGTCGAGTGGGTAGATTTACAACAGTGCATCTCCAGAGCCCATGGCTCCTACATTCAGTTTAGGAATGCCGACAAGGCCTGGTTATGTCCTCTATGTCGAACGGACAAAATTCCGACTGAAGCTCAATTCCTCGAAGCCACGTCAGAAGGATTGGAAAATACCCGTAGGTTTAGAAGGGTCGAAGTATGGACTGATGTCGTTTTAATAGCCACAGTGGTAGGGTACTCCCTCCGAGATTTCACCAGGAAGGATCAAAGGAGGGCTAATGAGAGGGCACGGGATAATCGATGGAACGAGGGACGATTGGAGAAACGGAAGACAGACGGTAGTGGGCTCTGGATGTCAGTGCCGCACCCGTTCATGAGGTATGACTGTGTCAAGTTGGCACACGAGGAAATTGTGGCCCATTTCGCCGTCCGAATCACGGAGGCGGCGATTGAAAAAAAAAATGAGTGGTATTGGTCCAACATTAGCGATGATGTTAAGTTCATCGTCCGAAATTGTCAGGTTTGCACTGCAGACAACGCGCCAATTCAGCTGCCTAGGTCGATAGTGCCTACGATAGTCGAACGACCACTCGAGAGGGTTGGTATGGATACCACTGATATTGTCGTACCCCCTAGACCGAATAGTTGTGAATATTCAATTCTGTTGGTATTCGTGGATCACTTTTTGAAATGGATCGAGGCGTATCCGTGCAAGACGTGACAGGTGGCCGAAATTGTGCGATACCTCAACCGTTTTTTCGGGATGCACCGAGACACAGGGGAAATCCTAACGGACAATGAGGCAAAATTTAGAGTGGAAGTCTTGAGGAATCTAGTCTTACACGGTGTCTCTATCCGCAATACTGCTCCCCACATGTCGCAATCTAATGGACTGGTGGAAAACGCCAATCAAGTGATTAAGACCGCTTTGCGATGTAATATCGCGGCAAATGACACGAGGCCTTGGCCCGACATCGTGGACCATATCCTGGCTATCCACCGGGGGACAGCCCACGAATCCACGGGTCTGACCCCCTTCCAACTACAGACCAATAGCCTACCCTGTGTAGCCCTACCGAGCCTAAATGATGAAACGACCCTTCCGCGACGGACCACTAGGGCGACGGTTAAGGATAAGGCCCAACGCCCCCTAGAACTGATTCAAAAGGTCCTCCCCCGATTGGCCTGAAAAAGACAACGAATGACGGAAATGGCCCATGGGAGACAGGTCAGGAGCTACGAGGCCCGGAATGGGAACGCTGGGCCTCGGCCCCAATATAAATTAGAGGACATCGTGCACGTGAGGAAATGTGCTCACCAGGGCAAGCTAGCGCCACGATTCTTCGGGCGATTTCACGTGGTCGAGCTCGGTCCAATTGGGGTGAATACAGTGCGGCTTGCGTCGGAGGTGTCGGAAAGTCGATCAGCTCGTCCGATCATTCGACATGTGTCCGACCTTCGTCCTCTCCCCTCTTCCCCTTCTCCTCCATCATCTACATCGTTCCTCGGTCAAGAAGAAGAAGACGGCGATCTAGAATCCTCTTTTCTCTCTCAACGATTGTCTTCGACTCCGCCTCCACCGCCATGAGTTTTTCGACGGGGCAGGTGATCAACGAGCATCTGATGACCCCGAGGGGGCGTATAGCGACAATCCGGCAGATGCAGCGACCTCGGTTGAGTCCCGATCTTCTTCGATTAACAGCCTTCTTCAGCACAGCAACCATCCACGCAGCAACACAGTTCCGCTTCGTACACGCAGGGGCGACGCGTGTAATGGCCGAGATTTTGGCTTTCCAACGCCTGTCCTCGCCCGGTATTAGCCACATATCATCGTCACTTTCATGGGTGATATCATGGCGGAACACTCGGCGATTCATGCGGACATCTATCAGCAGTTGCGGGGTTGGGCCGAGGAGATCACGACCATGTGGATCGAGTTGATGGCTCGGCCGGGGGAAAGGATCGTAACCTCGAATGACATAGATCTCCGACTCCGCACCTCCAGCAGCACACTGGAGATCCTTTTCCCGGAGCTCCTTCCCTTCGTGCAGCCCCAATAAATTGTCATCGTCTCTCCCTCTTCAGCCTTCCGTTTGATCTCCCTACCTTATGGCAATCTGCTATCGATACCGCCCTCTCTTTCCGGGTCCGGGAGCTCAACTTACTGATCTTGGACGAAGAGAAGTGGAACGAGTGGTGGGACACTTACGTGGAACTCGACTTCTGTTTGGTGGGGGTGGTGTTTCACTAGGCGGAGCCGACCCCAGATGCTGAAGGGGGTGAGGTCCAGGACGACGAGGTGGAACTGTTGATCGCGCAGGCTTGGCGGACGGATACGGAAAGGGAATTGCTAGAGATATTATTCGGCAAGGTGGAAGAAGGCCATCTCGACACAACCACGGACGAGTTGTTGGTGTTTTTAGCGCCGCTGGTGGACGATTTACTCCTCCACATCCTGTCGAGGTGTGACGAGAAGCCAGGGACGGACGTGCTCACTCGCACGCTTGCGCCTCATCTGTTGCGGTCCACGTGTACGGAGCTAGACGGGATAACTACTTTTACCCGTCCCCGAGCCTCTATCTCCAAATCGACGTCACCGATCTCACACTGTGGGACCCTTTTATCCGGCGAGGAAACGCGCAAGGAGTCAGTGACGAAGACGAAGAAGAAGAAGAAGAGGAGCCAGAGGAGGAAGAGTCGGGCACTGATCGGGATGATCCTGATTACATTGGGTCAGAGGAAGAAGAAGAGGCGACGAGAGAGGGAAGTGGATCGGGAGAACCAAGTGGTCGTCCCAGGTGAAGCAAAGAGGAGGAAGAAGCTGAAGCTCAAAGGAGGCGGGAGAAAGCGGAGGGCAAGCGGCCAGTCGAAGGCCGCCACCACAGCTACTGTTAGGTGATCCATCGTTAAATCCGGAGCCGCCGCACGAGGAGTCCGAAGGAAATGGAGTCGCGGCAGAGGGATCACGAAACCGACGCCGCAGAAAGAGTGAATCACCGGCTCCGCCTTCTCCGCCATCCCGAGCCACTCTTCGCCTTGGTCGAAATGCGGGCGATCGGGCTTCGTCCCCGGTCCTTATCCCGTTGTCTCCGTGACTTCCTCACTCCTCACCAACTCCTGAGTCGACCCCCTTTCCCTGATGGATGGTGCCCTTTCCTGCCTTCTCTCTTCCACCAATTGTACGCCACCCGCCTTCTCGTCACCATCCTCCCACATGCGACCACCCACTCCTTCGTCGCCTCCTTCCCTCTCAATGTCCTTCTTTTCAGTGTGACCTGGAGGGAATTTAATAATATAGAAGTCTACCGCATCATCTCGGGCGCAATCCCCACCTGCGAGAATTACGAGAGTTTTCGCACTGGCATCCCTCGCACCCTCTCTACCCTCTACCCCGACTATCTCGCCTCTATCCCTCAACAACGGGAACACCCTCGATTCCCTCGTATCCACCGCACCATCCACTACACCCGAATCCCCACCAGGGATAGAGAAATCCATCGCTTCATACCTCCCTTCCCCCAAGTCCATCCACCACCTCCTCCGCTCGTTATCAGATTGCCCTTCCCCGAAAACGTTAGGATAGAGCCCGCAAATGCCACACTGAATGACTTCTACACTCTTATCTTACGGTTAGTGGCACGTGTGAGCTCCGTGTCGATCCTCGGGTTAGATCGAAGCATAGTGAGTGAGCAAGCGGGAGCTTGCTCAAGATTGGAACCCCCTGGGCATCATATATGTGACGAACCATTTTCTGTAATTACGCGATTTTTTGCGCGAAGCTACTGTGGGGGAACGGGACGGGGTACGTGGGGATGGGTCAGCTGGGCAAGTTGCATGGATGCTCTCGCTTCTTTTTCATTTTCCTTTTTCAATTTTGTTAGGGCCTGTATCGGGAAAAGTCCCGCGTAGGCAGTTAGGAGACCGCGCCTTAGCGAGCGCGAGAAATAACTGTTGCCATAGCTTCCTTCTTGTTCTGCTGGGGCTAAGGGAAACGAGAATTTTGGTGCCATGAACGCGTGGGAATGTCGTCTTCTTTTTCAAAAAAAAATTCAACTGATGTTGAGCCCCTCTGGGCTTTCAGAATCGTTGATTTCCTTTTTGCTTTACGGAACTTTTGCTTCAGCGGCATTTTCTCTGCAATTTGGATTTATTTAGAAATTTAGAAACCTTGAAATTTTACGGCGTTACGCTTCTTAATTAGCGCGCATCTTGCCGGGACGGGAGCAGCGCTCTGACTAAGTTGCGCCCTTAATCTTGGATGTAACTGTATCTTTTGGCAGGGGCAACTGTAACTGTATCTCTCTCTTCTTGACTCTCTCGCCTTTCTTCCCGCCTTCTTCCTTCTTGCTGAGCATGCATCTTTCCCCATTCTGATAGGCCGAAGCGTTACATGCCCAGATCGATGCGTGGAGAGTGGCTACGACCCCGACGCCGCGGCCTGACCATGTAGAACGTAGACACTTCTCTTCTCTCCTCCTTCCTTTTGTCTTGGGTATGATCCCGGGTTCCTCGTGTGAGCATGCATGTTATAAATTTTGCAAGCGCAACTAATTCGCTCTCTCTAGATTTGGAAGGTTAGCGCGGTCAGTGAGGATCGACTAACGAGCAAGTTGGAAGGTGAGTAGAAGTGAGTCGGGCGATCCGATGGGCTGGTGCCAAGTGAGTGGTGTTGACGTGCGGGCCACGACGGACTGTGGCGCACGGGCAAACCTGGCGTGCGTGCTTGGACTAAGCAAGGTGACGACTCGGTGTTGGTGCGAGACGACGGATTGTCCACATCAGAGGAGACGGGGTGCAGAGAGAGAGAGAGAGAGAGAGAGAGAGAGAGAGA